TGACATATCCCACGTGTGTCTCCACGATGCCCCCCCCGAGCTTGGCCCCTGCGGCGTCGGCGAAGGCTTGAGGCAGTTCCACATCATCTTCAGCAGGGGGGCCAGGAGACGGAGCAGCGTCACTATCAGTAGCTTGTTCCTCTTGCATCTGTGCGAAGAGGGCCGCGTACTCCTTGAAAGCTTGGCTCTCGAGAGTCGCCTTGGTGGACTCCTTGCCTTCGAGCATCTCGGTGGGGATATCCAGTGGCGGCGGCGGTGGTTTGCCGCGTGGCATGCCACGAGGAATAGACGCCACCAGCTGCTTTTGGAGGGTATCCACTTCAACAGCCACAGCACGACGCTTGGCCTCCAGCTCATCACGTTTGGCCGTGGCTTCCTTGATGGCATCACTCTGCGACTCCACTTCACCTGTGAGCTTGGCCAACTGCTTCTCGGCCTTCGCCAGGCGGTGACCGACTTTGGTGTGCTGGGTGATGTCGCTCTTCTTCGCCTCCAGCTTGGCGCGAACCTCGCGCAGCTGTGTGACCAACAAGTCCTTGGCTGTGGACATGTGATCCTTGCCGCACGCCTTGATGGCCAACTCGAGCTCCGACGCCTGGGCCACCAATGGATCTTCAGCTTGTTCGGACGACTCTCCGCCAGGGCCCGCACCGCCTTTGCCACCGCCGACGTTGCTGCCACCTTGAGGAGAGGACTTGAGGAGCAGGTCGAAACGCTTGGTGATGTCTGCCAGCTATTTCTCGAGCTTCGCCTGACGCTTATCACCGAGCACGTGAGTCCCGCTTCCAGGACCCCCGCGAGGAGCAGGCCCACCAGAACCAGCACCATTGCTGAAGGTCTTCGCACGGTCGAGAACATGCTTGGGTGCCTTCTGCCCGCATTGACATTGCAGCCGGCACGCCCAGTTGCTCGTTCTCCCGCACTTCTGGCAGCCCCAATGGGGCATCCTCGGCCCTTTGACGACTGCATCCATGCTGCGCTCCCTAAGGAACGGAAAGGTATGTACGCTCCAACAGGAGCTCACAAATACAAATCATCGAAAATAACGAGCCAAAGGCCCGCAACAGCACTTGGCCGCTTCGAAGAGGCATGCTGTTGCAAGCTCAGAAAAATCTGAGCCGAAACGGCTCGCAGCACCGCCCGCCAGAGCGTGCAGATGGAGGAGGAGGAGGAGGAGAGGGGAGGAGGGAAGAAGGGGAGAGTAACTCATCCTCCTCCACCTCCTCCTCCTACTCCTCTCTCTCCTCCTCCTCCTCCTCCCTCTCCCTCCTCCTCCTCCTCCTCCTCCTCCTCCTCCTCATCCTCCTCCTCCTCCTCCCGCCTGCATCCTCACTCCCCCCCTCCCTCGCCACTCCGTCCGCCTCCTTTTTGTTCCTCCTCCTCCTCCTCCTCCTCCTTCTCCTCCTTCCCTGTGGGGGCTGAAGGGCGTGCAAAAACCCTCGGCAAGAGGTTCACAGCATTCAATTTCGCGCGCATTTGTCGGCCTCTGTGGGTCCCCGGACGAGCAGTACCCCGGCAGCCGAGCCACGGACGCCAGAACTCCCGGGTGCGGCCCTGGGGCCGCCAGAGCGCCCCAGGAACGCCCCAAGGAGGCGCCAGACGGGTGGCAGGCCAAGAGCGCATCAAGAGTTCCAAATCTGGTTTCAAGACGGTTCCAGAGGCGCCCAAGACTCCCCAAGAGGGCACCCAAAGGATCTGCAGAGGCCCCACCAAGGCAAACTTCATCGGTGATGCTCAATTTGTTTTCAAAGTTTTCAATCGCTCAGGATGGCCCTGGATGCCGACAGGATGGCTTCAAGTCAGCCCAAGAAACTCGCAAGAGGGTTCGAAGACAACCGAAGAGGGCTCCAAGGCGGCCCCTGAGGCCTCCCGGAAGGGCTCTGGAGGCCTCCAACAACCAAAAGGGGAAATCTAGACTCATGTGTCGGCCATGCCCCGCAAGATAGCACTGGAGACGGCCAGCAGTAAGAGGCCCCCACGAGGCCCCTGGAAATCACAAAGGCTAGACCGACAGGCCCCTCAGAAGCCGCAGAAAGTTTCAAAATTGCTGCTGAGAGGCACTCGAGAGATCTCCCAAGAGACCTCCACAAGCCTCCCAAACAAGCGTCATATTCACGACCTGGTGTGGTCCCACGCCCGTCCCGAGAAGCTACCGAGAGGCATCCCGTTCCGCCTCGTCCTCTCCTCCTCCTCCTCCTCCTCCTCCTCCTCCTCTTCCTCCTCCTCTTCTCGGGCGCTATTGGCAGCCGCATCTCCACCGATCTTCTTGGATCATGTCCTGCCTGACCAGCCGTGCCGCCTGGACACGAGCACACCAACAACACACACCAGCGGTGATGCGAAATGGCCCGGCGGAAGGAACGACGCCATTACATTGATTTGGGCTCCTTCCAACCCCCTCCGTGTTGGCCGTCGAAGGCAGATGATGAGGCTGAGAGAGGCTGCGCCCATTCCGCGACTGATTCCGTACAACCCTCCAAGGGACACGTAAAAACAAACGAGAAACGTGATCCCTGCGCTGGGCCGACACGTGTGGCAGATCCTGGAACGCGTGAACACACGCGAGATGCGCCCTCAGAAGTGCGAAAACGTCGTTTCGGTGAACCCCTCACGCGATCCCTGTTTGACATTAATTTTGCGACGCGTAGGAATACGATACGAGCCTCCATGTCAATTTACGGCTGCCACAGTGCCATTTAGAGACACCCTGCACTCATTTCCTCCTCCACACTCTACTTGGAAACGTAAGAACTACGAGTGATCTGCACTCCGAGGGCCGCGAAGGGCTTAATTCGAATTACCATTCACGCATGTCCTGCCCCGCACTCTTCTGGGACACGTCAAATACCGCTGTACCGTGCCTCTGGGCACGGGGTGGGCGTGTCCGCAGGCCCTCCGCCGCATCCAGTGGGCCTCAGCCCTCAGTCCGGAGGAGTCTCTCAGGGGCCGGGACCCCCAAATTCTGACATCTCCTTGGGCTTGGCGCGTGCCCGGTGGGGTTCCCGGCGAGACGGCGCGTGACTTTTTTGGGGCCCAAGGGGGCTCCATCACGGACCCAGACAACCCCAAGGCGCCCCCAAGACGGTCCAAGAGGGCACCGAGTCGCCACGCGATCGCTCCAGGACGCCCAGCATGGCCCCAAGATGGCCCAAGAGGTGTCCAAGGCGGCCGACGAGGCCTCCAAGAGGCCTCCCAAGAGAGCCCCGAGAAGCACAATTCATCGCGTTTTCTTTTTGAATTTCCAAGCGATTTTGGCATTCTCGCTCCTTCCGCTTCCCGACGCTCCAAGACGGCCCACGTGGCCCTAGACCGCTCCAAGACGAGGCCTCCAAGAGGGCTCCAAGAAGGCCCAAGAGGGCTCCAAGACGGCCCAAGAGGCGCCCAAGACGGTCCTAGAGGGCCCCAAGACGGGCCCAAGTGGGGCCCAAGAAGGGGACAACGAAACGAACATTCTAGATCTGTGCCACCCGAAGGCCCCAAGAAGACTCCCAGAGGCCCCAAGATGCGCCCAAGAGGCTTCCAAGAGGTCTGAGAGAGGCCATGAAGAGAGCCCAAGAGGCCGCAACACTTCCCCAAGAGGCTTCAAGACTGCCTTCAAGGAGCCCCCGAGAGGCCAAGCACAAGATCCCAACGAACGTCCACGAGGCCTCTGACCCACCACCCAGGCTTGCATGCCTAGAGGCCTCCTAGATAGGCTTCGGAGTAGATGGGCTCGGAGGATCGCGCCGCATCGCCGATACATCGGCGATGCGTCGGCGATGCATCGGCGATGCACCGCCGATGCATTGTCGACGTCGGCGATGCATTGGTGACGTCGACGCGAAGCAAATCGGTCCCTACATCGAGCCGCATCGGCGATGCATCGGCGATGCATCGGCGATGCGGCGCGATCCTCCGACCCCATCTAGGAGGCCTAGAATGCTACAAATTGTATTTCATCGGTACCACATCAGGCATACAGACGACCCTTACGGGTGCATGCCGGCCCCGTGACAGAGCTAGGAGCCGCAGGTGAGAACGCCTCCACGGGACCCCATCAGAAACCTCACCGCACTCGCTCGCGGATTGCAAGAACAACCAAGACATAGTCCAGGGAAATGAACCTCCGGTAAAGGCCGAATTGTCAAGGACCCCTCGAAAACGCTTCCGGGACGATCAAAGCTCCCTCCGATAGGCTTCAATTGCCCCCAGAGAAACCATCTATAGAAAAACAAACTAATGCCAATGCATTCAGACAAAGCCGCAAGACAGCTGAAGCCCATGCCACCAAACCAGACCCCATTGGCCTCAACTCGACTCTGCCTCGAAGTAGCCTCCGAGACATCCGACGTCGTCCCCCTGTTTTTTGCACGCAGTGGCACGGGCGGACATCCGCGCGCGCATCCGGAGAGGATTGGCTCACACGGATCAAAAGCAAGTGTAAGAAGCAGAATAAACAAACAACGAAAAGGAAACAACAAAGGTCGAGGACACAAATATCGACAGACAAGAGGAGAACGGAACAACATGTAATGCGCTCTCCAGGCGCGGCCACGTCACCGCATCAGCGACATCGTAGAGAACCCGCAGCGAGCGGACAACTCTACGGTAGGCTGGGGATCCGCCGCAGACGTTGCAGAACGCATGACAAATTGAGGAGGATGAAGAGGATGCGGATGGGGAGGGCGTGAAGGTGGCCCGAACGCAAGGCTCTAGACTGAACCCTTGCTGCACGCGCGCTCGCTTGCGGCCCAGGCCCCCAAGCTGGCACGCAACCGGGCGCTAACGGGGAGGGCCAGGCTGCCATGGGACTCACAAAAAAACTCTTCGGCGCGGTCTCGAACGGGCAAGGTGCCAAAAACCACCCCTCCGGATCTCTGCACGCCACACCCTCCCTGATCTGTGACCGCTCCTCGGGTGCGCCCTGGCAAGAATGCGGAGCGATGCTCTACCGCCGTGTAAGGGAGCGGAGGAGCAGGAGGAGGAGGAGCAACATTACACTAACTGCCGCAACGCCTGGTTTACAGGGCGACCCGATGATGGCACGCCTCAGGCACCATCGCTTCCTTGGTGTGATCATCTTCGCCGAGCAGGCCTCCGACTTGATACCCGGCGCGACCGAGGTTCTTCACGTAGAGATTTAGATACTTGAAGCCCTGTTGCGTGCGCCCGTGGGCAACCTTCACCTGGACGGTCCCAAACTTCACCCAGCGGGAGCGCTGGTGGCCGACGCCCTGAGCGCGGTAGTGGAAACCGCCAGCGCGTTTCACATTCGCCCACGACCCTGTGATGTTCAGCTCTTGGAAATAAATGTCAGCACATTGCCCACCCAGCCTTTGCACGTCCCCGTCCACATGAAGCAGGATGTTCGTATGGTCCCTTCGTGGAATGTGGATTAAGACGTGCCTGCCCGCCTTCATCAGGTCGAACCGCTCACCATGAATGTTCTGCAGATGTGGATCGCCCACTGCAGACGACACTGTCGCCGGGACGGCCTTCGGGTTTGAGGCTGTCGGGTACGGCGTCGGGAAGGCCGTCGGGTAAGGCGTCGGGAAGGCCGTCGGGCTGCTTGTCGGGCTGCTCGTCGGACTGGGTGTCGGGGACGAGGTCGGGCTGCTCGCCAAGGCAGTCCTGCACACGTAGCCCCAGCCCCCGAAGGCTCCGCTGTCGACAGTTTTCTGATTGAAATGAAAATCAACACCATATTTGCTGTAGCATCCTGCAGGACGGGCAGTCGTAAAACCGACATTGTTACCACAATTTTGAGCGCCGATTGCAGCGTTGGTGCACCGATTGCAACATTGTTGCGCCGCGATCAAACAATCGCTGGGTGATAACACAGGCACGAGACCAAGTGCCGAGCACGAACCGCCAGACGCGACAAATGTGTATAACGCATACGTCGGACTGGGCGTCGGGTCGTCCGTCGGGAAGGCTGTCGGGTAAGGCGTCGGGAAGGACGTCGGGTACGGCGTCGGGTCGGCCGTTGGACTGGGCGTCGGGTCGGCCGTCGGGAAGGCTGTCGGGTACGGCGTCGGGAATGACGTCGGGTACAGCGTTGGGAAGGCCGTCGGGTACGGCGTCGGGAAGGCCGTCGGGTAAGGCGTCGGGAAGGCCGTCGGGAAAACCGTTGGACTGGGCGTCGGGTCGTCCGTCGGGAAGGCTGTCGGGTAAGGCGTCGGGAAGGACGTCGGGTACGGCGTCGGGTCGGCCGTTGGACTGGGCGTCGGGTCGGCCGTCGGGAGGGCTGTCGGGTACGGCGTCGGGAAGGCCGTCGGGTAAGGCGTCGGGAAGGCCGTCGGGTAAAACGTCGGGTCGGCCGTTGGACTGGGCGTCGGGTCGGCCGTCGGGAAGGCTGTCGGGTACGGCGTCGGGAATGACGTCGGGTACGGCGTTGGGAAGGCCGTCGGGTACGGCGTCGGGAAGGCCGTCGGGTAAGGCGTCGGGAAGGCCGTCGGGTAAAACGTCGGGTCGGCCGTTGGACTGAGCGTCGGGTCGGCTGTCGGGTACGGCGTTGGGAAGGCCGTCGGGTACGGCGTCGGGAAGGCCGTCGGATACGGCGTCGGGAAGGCCGTCGGGCTGCTTGTCGGGCTGCTCGTCGGACTGGATGTCGGGGACGAGGTCGGGCTGCTCGCCAAGGCAGTCCTGCACACGTAGCCCCAGCCCCCGAAGGCTCCGCTGTCGACAGTTTTCTGATTGAAATGAAAATCAACACCATATTTGCTGTAGCATCATGCAGGACGGGCAGTCGTAAAACCGACATTGTTACCACAATTTTGAGCGCCGATTGCAGCGTTGGTGCACCGATTGCAACATTGTTGCGCCGCGATCAAACAATCGCTTTGTGATAACACAGGCACGAGACCAAGTGCCGAGCACGAACCGCCAGACGCGACAAATGTGTATAACGCATACGTCGGACTGGGCGTCGGGGACGAGGTCGGGCTGCTCGTCGGGCTGCTCGTCGGGGCCGTAGTAGGCGTCATGTCATAGCATGTCGAACGCCCAATGTCGCTCCAGCATCGAACGGGTAGCTCTGGGTGATATTGGCAACATTCGGAACGCTGGCACTCATCGTCGGACAATCCATTCTGGCAATATTCCTCGCCGTCCACGCTGCCTGCCTGGCGGCACAGGCCACACGTTGCAGGGCAAATGCCCCGCGTAGCATTCCCATAGGTCGGATCGTCGCAATAACCCCCAATCTCCGCACATCCATTGACCGTCAAGTTTAGGTTAGCAGCGCCAACGATCGCCGCGGCGTCGTCATCTGCGCATGTCTGGCACTGGCTGATGGCCGAAGTGCAGAGCTGGTTTGTTGAGCATGTGCTCGATCCGCAAATACATGGGTATTCCGGGCTCAATCTCAGGCCGTCAGTCACAAGGCAGCCAGTCGGCGTCGGCCCCGGAGTGCTGAGCGTGGGGCTGGACGTGGGGCTGGGCGTCGGGCTCGGGGTGAGCCTCCGTGCCACATTGTCACCCGACCCGTGCACAGACACCTGGAAGAGATGCATCTCGGCGCCAACCATGGAAGCGAGCGCGGATGCCGTCGCGAAGATCAGGCTGCACGCCGTCGCAAAATCGGCAATGGCTTGGAAGTGTAAAAGTACGTGTATGTTCAAATGATGTGCTGGGAGCCAGAAGCGACCACCTAGCGAACCTTGAGCCCAAATTGCCACAAAACATCCGACGAGGTCCCTCCTGAGGCATACAGACTACACGCCTCAAGCTGCATCGAGTGGTACATGACTGGTACCGCTTGAGACCCACAGACGACATGCCTCTCGCTGCGATTGTCCTGTACCAGAAAGTGATACCCGGTCGGCATCCATCAGATACGTCAGAGGCCTCTGCCCCGGAGCCCAGGCACGGTGGTGGGATCGGCCGAAGGCCACTAGATAGCAGTGATCTGCGCCTCGGGCTCCTGGGACCCTCCCTCCTCCCTCCTCCCTCCTCCCTCCTCCCTCCTCCCTCCTCCCTCCTCCCTCCTCCCTCCCTCCTCCCTCCCTCCTCCCTCCTCCCTCCTCCCTCTGGTGTGGGCCCCGATGTTCTCTTGGGGGACGCCGACATGGGAGCGAATTGCCCTTCCATCGTCGTGGGAACCTCTGAGCCTCCATCCGGAACACCCCTCATACACTTCGTGCCCCATGGGGGCAGAAATTCCCTGAGCTGGCCTCGAAGACCGCCTACTTCCGCAAAGGGTGCAACGACTGGTACCGACCCTCGTCGATTCTTCTCCTCACCCCTCAACCTCCCTCCTCCCCCTTGGCCTTACCAAGTGACTGCAACCGTGTTGTGGATGGCCCAAGAAAAAAGCCAGGCAACAGGAAACCCGTATGAATTAGGACATGCAGAGGTGAAATTTGCAAACACAGGGATAGTGGATCGGGGGCACTTGCTGAAGGTAGGGGCCTCCACTCGGCGCAACCTTCCCGCACTTCGTGAATATTGGCAGCATCCATTCGGCACACCCCCGACGCACGCCGTGCCCCATGGACCTCAAAAGGCCCTTCGCTAGCCTCCAAGACCGTTTGCGCCCCCCAAGGGGCGCAAATACGCCCGCAAGAGACAGCGCAACGATTTGCACCGACCCTCGTCGAGGCAATATCCCCAACACTCCCGATTGCAAACTCTGCGTGCAGGTTTTCCCCTGGGGGCGGGCCTTGGCTCCCACTCTATGGGCTCCAGAAGAAGAAAACCTAAACTAATCGTGTTCGGTGCCACGGTGGGAAAGAATAGCTTCAATGCTGATCGGTACGGGCATTGTCTCGCCAATTCGGACGGAGCCCTTCCTGCAAGAGGTTTCGGCAACTTGGGCAACACGACAAGTACGGAGGAGAGTAAAGAGGCCAAGCGATGATCAAGGGAGTGCGTGGTCCGACTGGCCGAATGGAACCCTGTAAACTTTTCTCTTTGGAACTCAGGCACACTTTCCCCCGATGACCCGATACGGCTGGATCTAGGACAGAAGATCATCCTCTAAAAACCTGAGACTCTCCGCCGGCCAAACTGAAGAACATTCGAGGGTACCCTCTCCCAGGAGGCACGAGCACAGCCAACAAACACGAAGAACACAGGGACGCCCTTCCCGAACCCGACCTCGGTCCTGTTCCTCTTGTTCCTCGGTCCGACTCTGCTGCGTTCTGGCGTGCGGCGTTGCGGGGGGGCCCGGGGGGGGGGGGCGGCGCAGCTGGGGGAGGCTGGCTCGGCCGCCACGGGCATGGACTGCTGCATGGCGAGATGGGGGGATCGCCCGAACCGGGTCGGTCAGGCCTTTCAGGATCCTGCAGGATCCTGCGCCCCAACCCAGGTCAATGCACCCCTGGCTCTGCAGTACCCTGCACGATCTGGCGCAGTGGCCGACCCCCGTCTCGTGAGCCCCGAGAGCTGGGGGAGGGGCACCCACTGGCCATGTGAACGCGCAGACTCACAGACCCCGCATCAACACGGAGAAGCGCCACCGCGATAGCATAGCCTGCCTGGCAGGCGTCGTGGGGGCAGAGAGGACCAGGCGGGGACCACTCGAATCGCATCAGCAGCTTGCCCGTGCTTGCTTTGGCTCCTGGTGAAGGCGAAATTCGACCCTCAAAACCTGGGCGTCGCAAACAGAAATCGTAACGGCCAGTGTGTTGAACGTGTCGGCCTCTGACCCGGGAAAAAGGTCGCTGTCTCCGACCTCGGAAGGCTGGCCATCGCTCGGACGTCCATTTCCTGTGTTTTTTTTTCGGTTTCGTGCGTGTTTTTTTTTCGCGAAATGATCAAATATGCTCCTCGATGGCCCTCGCCGAAGGAAAAATGCACACGTCCGAGCGATGCCAAGAAGAGAGGGTTCAGGGAATGCGCCGACCCAGGCGTGTCGGGAGTGAGAACAGGCTTGGGCCAGTTGGCTGCCCCTCGACCAGTCGGGTGCCCCCGGAACGCTCTCGGCGACACAAAACCGCTGGACGGCATCCCGAAACCAGACAGCCGCCGAGCATCCACGAACACAGTCGAAAGCACCTGAGCCCATCCCCCCCCCCTTCTGCCTCCCCTAGGAGGAAGTTCCTGGGAGGTCTCCGTCGGTATGATTTAAAGGCTCGATGAAGGGCCACTGAGCTGAATTAAGCCGGATTCCGCCTGGGCTTAAGCCAATAAACACTGGGATGCATGCAGACTGGGCAGGTGTTCGACCAAGGATAATACACCAGCGCCGATGCTGAAGCTGATCTCCACGGAGCCGCGTCCTCCCCGTTGGGGTCCCACGCAGGCCTGGCGACACGCACAGGGGGGGGGGTAGGGGGGAGGGGGGAGGGCTTCTTAGAAAGATGCTGCGTCTTACAAAGCGCCGGCATCACCCACAAGGCCCGTGCCCTCTAAGCAGCCTCGATCTAAAAAGCCTTCCCCCCTCCCCCTACCTCCTTGTGCGCGCCGCCAGGACGAGGAGGAGCAGCAATAGGGGCAACTCCGTTTGGAGTTGCGCTTGATTCTCTCTGGGATGTACTCACGTGCCCATGGTCATGATGCACGACGGTATGAACTTCGCTCAAGGTTCGCCCAACGCAGAGCAGCAGCAGGAGCAGCAGGAGCAAGAGGAGGACGAGAGACTGTGCATGGACGAAGAGTTCGAACCCTGCGGCGCAAATTACCCTGCGGCGCAAGATTGAAAGTGCGGCAACGGAGAGGGCATGGATGGACAGAAATATTCGAACCCACATACTTCCACACCTGCTAACATCAACATGGATTTCGGGGGCGGGGGGGGGGTATGAACATCCCCCTCAAGTGTGTGAGGATTCGAACAGTAGTTTGTCTATGTACTGGACGAGCAGGCGCGGAAAGAGCAAGGCACCACCGCGCTGCGCCCATCTCTGAGCAGGGACCGACCGTCCCCGCATTCACATGGGCCTACCACGAAACGTTCTCAAAACCAAAGCGTTTCTAAGAACGACAACACTCTTCGTAGAACATGAAACCGATGTATGACCATGTAAGACAGCCTCAGTCAGAACTGTTACGGGAACCTCTGGTGCAAGCCACAAGAGTCTCAGAACCACCAGAACGCTCTTTGAGTGGCCCCCGCCACATCACCGATGAATCACCGACACATCGGCGATGCACTGGCGACGTCGGCGATGCATCGGCGACGTCGGCGTGGAGATCGGGCTCCACATCGGGCCGCATCGCCAAGGCATCCACGATGCATCGGTCGTGCGGCGCGATCTTCTGACTCCATCTGATCACCTGGGAGGCCTAGAGTCAGTGGCAACACCAGGGAGGACTGGCATTGGGGGGAAACATCGACCTGGAATCGGCGATAGACCGCCGATAGATCGGCCATAGGGCCCCGATCACAAAACCGCACCTTGCTGGGCGGGTTGGGGCCATCGGGCCCCTGTTGGCGATGAATGGGCGATTGGGGGCCGATGCCTCCCTCCCCTCTGCCTGTCGCCCCCTATCGTTGCCCTTGATGGATGGAGAGAGAAGAGAAGGCGCAAGCGCAAACTCTTGGCGCTCCGCGTGGATCTCTTGGATCTGCGCTGGACCCCCTTCCCTGACGCGCACGCGCGGAGCGCGCCAGGAGCGGCGCCAGAGGCGTCGCCGGGGGGGGGGCAGCGCGAGCCCAGGAAGTCCGCGCGGAGCGCTAACAGTTTAAGTTCGTGCCGTTTTTGGTTCCTCGACTGATAGGTGAACGTTCTTTTATTCGGCGTTTCGACATTGGGCGAAAGGGGGGGGGATGGGGGGGTCTGGCTCCCGACCTCTGCTCGGTGCGACTGTTTGTAAGAGTGCGGCCTCGTCACCACTTGCGCGAACTTAGGCGCCAAAAAAACGGGCAATACCTGTTCCGCGGGGGGGGGAGTTGGGGGGCCCGCGCCGATCGGCAAGACAATGCATGAACAAAAACGACCACCAGAGGCAAAAGCAGGGCGCCACCACGCCGGGCCCCCCTCTGCGCGTGGCCACGCCCGTGGCCACGCCCGTGGCCCCCCTCTTGAGCAGGGACCGACCGTCCCGGCATTCCTATAGGCCTACCACGAATTTTCCTTACAGCCCAGAAAGTGTTCTGAGAACAAAGACAATTTGCTTATACAATATGCCCGATGTGTTCAAACAAGGCGGCCTGGCCAGAAATGTTCTAAGAACATCTCGTGCAGACCACAAAAAGGCTCTTAGAACACTGCTAGGCCTAATTCGGCGAGACAGGACGCTTCGCCACTTCCTGACCCTCTGTCAGGGGGACGTAAGACCTAGGTACAGGGGACTCGGAAATCCCCGACGAGGTCGTCAAAAAAATGACGAGGCCGAGCCTGCATTTTGACGAGGCCTCCCGCTGCAGACATCCCACGAAACTCCTCCTCGTCAAAATCCGAGGCGCAGTCGTCAAAAAACGATGGCGAACCCGAGTCCTGGCAAACCCGGGTCTTACGCTCCCCCGACTCTGCGCGCGGCCGCTTGCCAGGACGGCGTCCCTGGACATCCCGACCCTTTCCCCGGGGCCGGTTTTTCCTCCCGAGTCGATGTTTGCCGGCCCTGGGGCTCGGCGAGGGCCTCTGGAGGCCGAACACGGCAGAAAACCTCCTGAGTCCTGAACCTTCAACGGCGCGATCCTGCCTGGGGAGGTAGGAACAGGGCGCCACCGCGCCGAGCCCCCCCTCTGCGCGTGGCCGACGTCCTCCAGAACTGTTGGATCTCGGAGACTCCCGATTTGTGCCGGTTCGATGTTGTCCCAGTCCTGGCCTCGTTCTAGTGGGGGGGCGATCGGCGCAGGGGCGGCCCCCAGTCGCCCAGTCGTCGTCGATGGGGGCCCGATAGCCGACCCCGCCCAGGAATGTGCGGACTCGCTATCGGGGGCCAATCGCCGATCCGCCAACCTATCGCCGACTCCGCCCGTGGCCCCCCTCTTGGCGCGCGGCCGCCCCCCCTCGCGAGCGGCGGGAGGCGGCCCGCGCCTGCCCGGCCGCCCGCCCCCTCGCTGCTCGCAGCGCCCGCGGCGGGCACGGCCGGGGCGGCCGCCGGGCCGCTCCCCTTCGCGGGCGTCCTCGCTCGGGGGGGAGGGGGGCGCTGCTCGGGTGGCAGGGCTCGCAGGAGAGATTCGGGGATGGACAGACCCCCCTTTAGTAAAACGCGGTTTCGTGAAAACGACCCGAGGCCCAAACCTGGCGGGCGCAAGCCTGGAAAAGAACGGCCACGGCGCCCTCTCGAGAACCGAGAACGGACAATTAACTAATCGACGCGTCACTGTGGGGGGTTCTGTCCACCCCCGAAAGATCAAACACATAATCGCAAGATGCCCCCAGATAGTCCAGAAATCCTCGGGGCACCGTGCCCAGACTATGGTCTGACTGTTCTTGAATCTCCCTCCTGTTGCAGGACATGCCCGACTGAATGCTCGGGCAGGTGCGATGGTCGCTTCTCCGCGCTGGGGAGCCCACAAAGGACGCACGCGCCCAAGCACGTACATGAATGAACACGGCCCCCCAGGCCGCGAGACCAGCCGCGTGATACGAACGCTCGCACAGTGCGCGCTCTCTCGAACCCAGCGTGGATTCCACGTCCTTGCTTTCGCTCCCGACTCGCTCCTGCTCGCGACGAAGCCCAGGCGAAGAGCAGATCAGGAGAGGACGAGCCGAAAACCTCTGAGAACTCCAGCGGTGCTGGCCTCTCCGGCGCGCTCACCCCTGGGACGCCTGCCGCCGCGAGCGCCCCTCCTCGGCAGCTGGAGCGCCCGTGCAGCTGGAGCGCCCGTGCACACCGCCTCTGCCGTGCGGCACCGTTAATCAGAGAAGAGGTCCGGCGGCTCTGGAGGATGCAGCGGGCGCCGCGGCCTTCCCCGAGTGTTCGGGAGCGCTCTTTGGGTATCGTTTGACCCATCCCCATCCCCACCGGCGTGGCCTGGGCCCCACTGGCCGATTTCCCCCCCTATAGATGGGGATATAGGTCGTTCCCTTCGGGTTTCGAGGGCTGCATCCCCAACTGGGGTGGTAATTTGGTGGGGGTCTCGAAGGGGGTGGAGATGGGGATGGGGATCGGATAAACGATACCGAGCTCTGAGAGCGCTTGGGAACCGATTTGCCCTCGCCCTGACCCCGCCCGACTACTCCCAGGAGCAGCGTTGGGGAGAAAGGGGGATAAGCTCGGGAGGGAACGCACCGGCCCCCAATGGCACATTCGTCGCCGATGGGGGCAAATAGCCGACCACGCCCAAACACGCACTGTTTCGCTGACGGGGAACCATCGCCGATGCATCTGGGATGTATCGCTGATTCCACCCACCCCAGGGTGGTACGCCCTCCTACCGTTGCCCCTCACACTCCCTTGTGTGCGACACACCCTTTACTCGCGACGTGGGCCCCCTGGGAATCGCGGCCTACTCCCATGGGGGGGACTTCATCCATGAGCTGGGCGTGGGGGGCGATGCATGAGGGGGGGAGAACACGTGCGTGCACCTTCCGTGTCCCTGGTGGGCCCCAGGGAGCTCCTTCAGGGCACGCAGGGGATGCACTCCTTCATCCGCCCCCCCCCGTGTATCGATCCCCCCCCCGTCACGCACCGCTCGAGGGTGGTTTTGGGACCGTCCCTCGGGGTCGATCCGCGGCCCCCTGGGGAGCCGAAAACAGCGACCAGCTGGCCGCCGTTTGGTTGTGGCAACCGGGCACGAGGCTCCGCGGGCCCCGCGCCTCCCGATCGGGGGCGCGCGGGAGGGGGGGGGGATCCCGAGGGTCAGGGGTCGAGCGCAGCTGTATGCTCACACCCCGAAATTCCAATGGGCCGTTTGGATGGTCAGTCCGGTTCGATCGATCCGATTGGATCTCGATTCTGGTTGGCCCGATCCTGTCCGATTCCGATGGCGATCCGATGCTTGCGTGGGAAGGTCCGGCGCGGCGTCCGATCCGATGCAAGTTCAACGCGGTCCGACGCGCCTCTGCCCCTGTACCCACACCCCTGACGTCATGATTGCTTCCCAACGTGGGCCTCCGGAAATCTCGACCCACTCCCCAAGAAAAAAACTGGTCAGGGGTGGTCTCCCGACAGCCCGAGGGCCCGGCGAGGGCCCCCGCGAGAACGAGAACCACGAAGCACCGCTGTGCTCTGTCTTGTCCCCGGCACGCTGGTCGGCCGGGCCCCTTCTCCGAACAGCGAGTACCTGCCCCGGTGTCCAGGCGCCGAACAAGGTCGTGACGACGTCAGCAGGCGTGCCCCCCAGAAGATTGGGAGGCAAGGAATATTCAAAAATTGTAGAATGTAGTCTGGGGGCGATGTTTGACTATTTTTGGTTTTTGGCATGCTTTGAATATTTGTTCATTTCTCGTCGAAAGTCCGACTCTAGGAGGACACGCCAGGCCTAAACTTACATGGGGGGTGACACAGAGGGCCCTCGTCCTGATCGTCGCTTGTCGGGGCCCAAGAGACGGGGTTCAACGCAAACGGGGTTCAGCAGGATCCTGCAGGATCCTGCAGAACCAGGGTCAGGATCTGGACGGTCCGGCTGGCCGGAGTTTGGATTGACCCGTGTCGGTATAGGTCCCCGGTCTTGATCAGGAGGGAACAAAAACACAGACACAAGCAATCGTCGATTCCCAGAAAAGTGGAAAAGTATGGGAAGTGGGGGGGGGACAAACACCCAGAAAATATGGGAACATATGGGAAATCCTCCTGTTTGTGTGTATTTTTGCGTGTGTGTCCCAGGGCCCCTTCACTTGATGGCCCCCCGGGGGCCAGGAGAGGCCTCCAGGGGCAGGCGGGTCGGAGCACCGGCCGTCGCAGCTGATTGGCGACGCCTGGACCCGAGGTGCAGAGGCCTTCCGTGAGCCTCCGCTCCCCCGAACGCCGCCCCTCTTCCGGGGGCACGCTCGGGTGCAGCTCCTGGGAGGTCAAGTTCCGGTGTCGCCCTTGTCCGAAGTCCGGCCCAATCTGGCTTGATCCTGCTCAATCCCGCTCAATCCTGTTCGGTCCCGCCTCAATCCGTCTCAATCCGAGGCCTGTTCAGTCCCGCTCAATCCTGTTCAGTCCCACTCAATCCTGTTCAGTCCCGCCTGATCCCGCTCCATCCGTCTTCATCCGAGGCCCACTCCGGCGCAGCAGCCCCCCCAGGGGGGCTTAGTCCTCTTTCGTCCTTCCGACGAAGACCCCCCCCAGTGGTGTAGGGGGACGTGCCCGACTTCAATTTAGGTCACCCCCCATCACCACCCGCCGACCATCGCCAAAATATTTCCCCAACCTTCCTGTGTTGTGTTCTCGTTTGACTGGAGCTCTGCGGTCGCGAACCCACCGCCTCATTCACTCCCTCCCCTCCTCCCCCCTCCTCCTGTCTCCTACTGCGCTGCTCCCTGGGTGGCTGCGAACTGTCAACCGTCGCCACTTTCGAGGGCTCCTGGGAGGCACGGTGGAGTCGGGGAGCGAACGGACCATTTGAGACCTCGCAGATCCCGAGGTGGCTGCGAACTGCCCGCTTGTCGCCACTCTCGTGGGCTGCTGGGAGGCACGGCTGGAAGCAAACGGATCATTCGAGACCTCGCAGCTCCCGAGGTGGCTGCGAACTGTGCAAGTGTCGCCACTTGCGTGGGCTCCAGGCAGGTCCAGCGACGTCGGGGCCAACGCGGATCCAGCCGAGACCTCGCAGCTCAATGGAAAGCTACGAACTGCGCAAATGTCGCTGCTTTCGTGGGTTCATGGGAGGCACGGCGGAGATGAGGGCAGTCCTGATCGTGCATATCTGGCGATGTGTTCCTTTGCACGGAGCGTTCATGCAAATATTCGCCTCGCGTGGAGAAGGAGTTCGGTACATCTCGGGTATTTGTCCAGCGCTTCTCAGCCCTTGCCGGCGCGAGAAACGCCAATACACACATATCTATACATATATATATATATGTATATATGTATATGTAAATATATGCATACATACCGTCATGAAACTATTATCAGCGTGCATGTGATTCCAGGCTCTGCGAAACCGAAGCCAGTGACAAGCTAAGCAGCCCAGGGGCATACACGCCAAAAAGGGTCGGGTGTGAAACAGCCCTCCGATATACACGCAAAGTGCCAACCACGCAGGGTACGCGCGAAGTGTGGAGCACTCAGCGTGTAAAGGCGCATTCTCAACTACACGCCGAGAATAGGACCGAAGTGGGCCGGCGGTGGGGCCGAAACCAGCTGCGTGCGGCAGACTTCGTGCCCCTGCGCTCTTCATTCGGCGACGCCCTGACCCGGGTCGGCACCTGAAAGCCCGGCTCGGCAAGGGCCCTGCCGCGGAGCCCGGCCGTCCGCTGAGCAGCTCGCCAACCCCAGGTGAGCATGGCATGGCTCCCAGAGCCCCAGAGTGGGGTTGGGGGGGGGGGGCCGATCCCGAGGAGGAGGCGGAGGAGGAGGCCTCCCGTTGCGGTGAGCCCCAGCGTGCGCCGGGGTCCGCCTCGAGGCAGGGCCGAGCCGAGCGAGGAGGCAGAGGGGGGGGGCAGGAGACCCAGCCCTCCGACGCAGGTGGCTGCCGGAAACCCCTCTGCCGCGCCATGTGGGGGGCACCTCGGAGTGTCCCGGCGCCGGCGCTGCCCGCGTCGAGAATCGGCATCGAAGCGGTTCCGGGCACAACCTCGGGAGGCATCCAAGGCCGACCCAGAAATCCGCGCGGGCCTCCAGAAGCTCGTGTCCGTGCAGCCGTTTCCTATGAGGGGGAGGGAGCGGATGTCTCGGAGCAGGAATCGGCCAAGTCCGACAAGTTGTGCCGACGCGTATGCTGGATGCTCCTGGGCTGGGGCTCTTGCCGGGCTCTGTGCGGAGGGGGCGGGGGGGAAACACGAGTGTGGCGGACGGGAGAGGCGAGGGGTCTCCCGAGGGAGCGGCGTGGCCAACTCGTCGTGCAAGTCTGTCATGCCAAATGAGATCGGTGGCGAGGACGGCAACGAGCGGTGGTTCCACCGATGGGAGGGGAGAGGAGTGGGAGGGGAAGAAGAGAATGAAGGGATGCCAACGAGATGAGGGGTGCTCATGAGGCGTGAGGTGAGGGAGGAAGGCGGCGCGAGGAGAGAGGATCGAGGAGGGAAGATGCGCCACGGGTGGGCGATGGACGCAGCACCTGCAAACAAAACATTGCCAACAACACCGACCGTAAGTCAATCTGAACACCCACAACCATGGCGAGACCGCGAGGCAAGATCTCCTCGGCTCCGTGTCCGGCAGGGAATGACCTCCAGATCCGGCGCCCGTCTGCTCAGAAGTGGATCCCTCCATCACTGGCTCGCTCCCTCCTGCTCACTCCCTCGTCTTGCCATCCGTCGCCCCCGCACCCCCATCTTCCCTCCGTCCATTCCTTCCATCCTGCTGTATCCAGTCCTCCTCCTCTCCTCCTGCACATCCTTCCTCCTCCTCTCCTCCCCCTCCTCCTCCTCCTCCTCCTGCTTGCACGTCAGCCTTCTCTTCCAACTCCTGCCTGCTTACAGACGAGGGGATGCAACTTCTATCTGCCTCCCGGTGACGGGGCACCTCCAGCTCCTTCCCACGCTCCACTGACTCGCCTCGGACCCAACCTCGCCCGATCACGCACTCGTCCCCCCCCCCATGCTAGGGCACCGCGGGCTCGTGGAACTCCCAGCGGCTAAGAGGCAGTCATTCCTGCACTTGCACGGTGGACATCCGCGCATGAAGGGGCCATGAGACACACAACAAATACACACAAATAACAGGATTCCCCATATTTCCCCTATATTGTCTGGGATTTTGTCTTCCCCACCACTTCCGATATGTTCCCATATTTTTTGTGGAATCGACGATTAATCCCACCAGCCCTCTGGGCGTCGGTGGTTTAGAGCGTTTCCTCTTCCACCCCTCCTTCTTCCCCTTCGGGGAGGGGTTTACCCCTCCCCCTACCCCCTCCCCACTGACCTGGACAGGGGGTTCCGCGGCGCGTTGGAGCGCCCAAGATCGACCCCTGGGAGGGCCAAAATTCGACACCCCTCACGAGGATCGCGGCTCCTGAGGGGGGGACTGTAATTATCTATAGGGAACCCCCCTTCGTTGATCGATCTCCTCCAAGATGGCTCCGAGGCCCCCCAAGAGGCCCCCAGGAGGCCCCCAAGAGACCCCCAAGAGGCACCAAGAGACCCCCCAGAGGCACCCAAGAAGCGCCCAGGAGGCCCCAAGAAGCGCCCAGGAGGCCCCCAAAGGCCCCAAGATGGCCCCAAGAGGCCCCAAGAGGCCCCCAGGAGGCCCCAAAGAGGATCCCGAACGGCCCACAGAGGCCCCCCCGAGGCACCCAAGACGCCGAAAAGCCCCTCAGGACGACCCTCTACTCGCCTGGGCGTCGTTGCTGGACGGGCTGGTGGGGATACGCGAAGCGTCTAGAATTGTGTGTATGTGTTTTGTTCCCTCCTGAGCATAGGGCTGCCCCCTAGGGTGACCGCGGGCGTCCAGAGAAAGGGTCCAGGAGAGAAGCCGCTGTCCACAGGCGTGCGCTCAGAACCCAACTCCAGGATGCAAGGCACGGCAGATGCGCGCCGCGAGGACGGCGGCTCTGGTTTCTGCGCGTTGATTTGGCGGCGACCGAGGGGGGGGAAACAAAAAAGGAGAAGGCCTTCTCAGAAGGCGGCGGGACTTCTCAGACGCCCTGGCGCCTTCTGAGACGTTTTTCTGTCTTTGGGAAAAGCTTCGACAATTTCCGAGACTTCTCAGAAGGCCCGCCCCTTCTCACTTCCCCCCCTCGCTCGCCGCCGATGTGAGGCACGGCAGATGCGCGCCGCGAGGACGGCGGCTCCGATTCCTGCGCGTTGATCGTTCGACCTTGGACGACATGTTGTTCTTCCATAGACACGGATTGTTCGATAACGGCCAGTCCTGGGCCACTGGTGGCGTTCAGCCCTGAACCCCCGTGCCGGGGTCACAGCCGCGTCAACGCGGCGCGGCCCTACCGTAGACATGCAGAAGCAGTGGACGGGCACGCAAGAGGCCTTGGAAGTCCAAAACTTGCCGACAGATGTGCCAGGACAATTCAGGGACGCAGCGACACCGTGTCAGAAGCAACATATGTATTATCGCCAACACAATGCCGACAGACATGCCCAGGCAGCTCAGGGACACGGGGGCACTATTGCGGAAGTACTACATCCTTCAGTCAGCCCTTTCTTATGCCCTCCCTTCTCCTCATCCTCCTCCTCCGCCTCCTCCTCTTCCTGCTCCTTCTCCCCCTTCCCGAGAATGTGCCCAGAATGCAACTTCGGGATGCAGGACCATTGGACTTCCAGGGCAGCGGATGGTTCGAAGACAGCCAGTAGACATGACCCAAGAGGGATACAGAGGCCTGAGTGCAGAACCACTCCATCCTTGAGCCAGCCCTTCATTGTGCCCCCGCCTCTTGCTCCATCCCGCCTCGTTATTATGCTGCATCTCCTCCTCCTCCTCCTCCTCCTCCTCCTTCCCGCTCCCCCCCTAATTACCTCCGGAGCTTGCGCTCGAAATGCAACTAGACACCGTTGGCATCCACGCGAGGCCCCTGGACGTCCAATGCTGCCGAGGAATGTGCCCAGACAGCCAGGGACACCTCGCCCTCCTCGCCATCCTCCCTCCCTCCCCATTTGTCCTTCCGCTCTCCCTCCCTCCTCCTACCCCACCCCGCATCTGCTCCATCCTTCCCCCTCATCAACTCCCCCATCCCCGTCCTCCTCGAGCCCCAGGTCTGTAAGGACCCCCCGGAACCCTGCCAGCACTTGCAAAACCTTGACGAAACTCAGAAAACAGAATCAATCATCCTCCCCCCATTTGACATGACGGGAAGGGAGTTCCGAGTAGTTCCGAGGGACACGAGTCCTGGACCACAGGCGTTCGCAAGGACCAGATCTTCGTCCGGACCCTGACTCGTTCTCTTGACGGTCCTGGAGTCCAGGACAGGGCCCAAGGTGCGAAAACACGGCGCCAAGGCACAAGGCACGGCTAAGTTCCCCCAGGGAGCCTTCGCTTCATGGAAATTCCCCGCCTCCTCGTCCTCTGCCTCTCACTCCTTGTCATCCACTCCTCGTCCTCCTCCTCCTCCTCCTCCTCCTCCTCCCTCCTCCTCCTCCTCCTCCCTCCTCTCCTCCGCCTCCTCCTCCTCCTCCTCTCCTCCTTCTCCTCCTCCTCCTCCTCCTCCCCCTCCTCTCCCTCCTCGTCCTCCTCATCCTCCTCCTCCTCTTCCTCCTCCTCCTCCTCCTCCTGGTCCTCCTCCTCTTCCTCTTCCTCCTCCTCCTCATCCTCGTCCTCATCCTCCTTTTCCTGCTCCTCCTCCTCCTCCTCAACCCCCGACTCCTCCTCCACCTCCGTCCGCTCCTGCCGGAGGTTGCAAGAGGCCGCCCTGGCCCCAAGTCCCCCGATTTCTCGCTACATTCTGGAGCCCCTTCGGCCCAAACTGGGCCTCATGAGGTCGTGCTATGGGAGGCCGCGGAGGCTTCCACGGAAGTCCTGGGGACATCTTAGGCCAGGGGAACATGACGCGGCGTTACCCCCCCACTGTCAGATCCAATCATACCTTGTCATGCTGCCAGTGTCATGTCTTCCCTCTCTCTCTCTCTCTATTTGTGTCTCTGCTTCTATCACACACACTCTCTATTTCTCTTTCTCTTTGTCTCTCTCTCTCTCTCTCTCTCCTTCCCCTCAAGCCATGAAGGAAAGCAAGCCATAAAGGAAAAAAGGTCCTGAGGGAAACGGATCCTGGAACTCCTCACCGCGTCTGGCCTCCAGGGGCCCTCCACGGGCCTCAGGACCCTCAAACCACGAGTCGGGATGACCAAACGAACAACAGGTCCAGTGACCAGCCCGGGACCAAGCCCGAGCCCGGGACCAAAGATCGTTCTGTATACCTTTGCTTGTCTCTCCCTCTCTCTCATTCCCTCACCTAGTTCCTTAGCGCTGGTATCGATTCAGGATCGGCGCTCTGTTTCCACCGTTCAGAATGGCGCTCTCGCCCTAGCGCGGGCCACACATCTCTGGAGCCCCCATCCAGGCGCCTGTCCCTGGTCCTCCTGCGCCTCCCGCTGCTCATACTCGTGCTCCTGCTGCTGCTGTCTACCCTCCTCCTTCCTCGTTATCATCCTGACCCCCCTGCTCATCCACCACCTCCTCGTCCAATTTGCACAGCTCCCCGTTCCCATTGCGTGCAACACGACATGACACACATCGGCTGATATAGAAATATTGATCAGCGCAATGGTACAGTCAACCAGTATAGTAAGGATACGCGATCAAGATGCAAGGGCCTTGGACGCCCAGTTCGAAGCTTTTCGAGCGGGGCGCGGCCAGCGAACGCGGCGAGGATGGACCGAGGAGGCAAGGATGCAAGGGTACCCTTGGGAAGGTTGCCCATCCTTACTATGCGGGTTGACTGTAATTGTTGTATAGAGGCGAGGGAATCCTCGGAAACGAACCGAGTCCAGGCCTGATCCAGTTTTCGACGCGGATCCAGCCGTGGTGACGAAAATCCTCGGGGAGGCACAGCAAGGAACGGAGATGCACGCCAGGAGAAACGGCGCTGCGAGACGGCGGCTGCGTCGGCGTCGGCGTCGGCGGCGACGACAGCAGACCGCGGCGGCGGTGGCGGGCGGCAGATGGATTGTGCTACTTAAGGCTCAGGCAGATGGAAATATCACGAAAGACTCCTTCTCGCCGTGCCAGTCTGAACTTACAAGGGCCTTCCCGTTGACGGAGGGCGGCCCTCCCACAAAACGCGTCACTCGACCCTGGGCAGCCCGAGCTCGGGCGGGCTTGTAGCCCTCCTTCACAAAAGTTCGCCCACTCACACTGAGCGTAGGCAGCGCAACGCCTGCAGGAAACAACAGTGGAGCGAAACACAAGGTAGTGTCCGTTGGATGCTCATTCTGGGGAAGCCCTACTCGGGCGTCGAAGCTGCTTCGCGCGTCCGTCGATTTTGAGCCGACCTCGAGTCGACCCCGAGCCGAACCCGAGTCGAACCCGAGTCGACCCCGAGTCGAACTGCGGTCGAGCTCGAGGCGAGGAAGGCCCCCACGACGAGCACCTCCTGCCCGAGCCCCCGCTGGAGGCGGCGGCTGCCCGCGGCGGCGGCCGGCGGGCGCGGCGCCCCCGCGGCCTGCCGCGCGAGCGCCCAGCGCCTGGACCTCCCGGGCCAGCGCCCGCACCTCGAGGGGGTCCGCGGCGCCCTCGGCCGCCGGAGCCCGCCCGGCAGCGGGACCTCACAGGGTGGTCTGCCGACGGGGCGAGGATGGCCGCAAGGGGGGCGAGGAGGAGGACGGAGCCGGATCTCCTCGGAAGCCAACAGGTGGAGGAGGAGGAGGGGGAGGAGGAGGAGGGAGGAGGAGGAGGAGGAGGAGGAGGAGGAAGGAGGAGGAGGAGCAGGAGGAGGAGGAGGAGAAGGAGGGAGGATGGAGGAGGGAGGAGGGAGGAGGGAGGAGGGAGGAGAGCCGAGACCACTGCAGACGAAACCAGGACGAGGACAAAATCGTGTGAGGATGAATGGAGAATCTCTGAGATCCCGCGGCTCCGGAGGATGTCTCAGGCGCCGCGGCCTTCTCAGAGCTTGCCCGGAGCGCTCTGAGAGCAATCTGGGACGCGCTGGGGAGGCCGCGGATCCCTCTTCGGTTTCTACCTGGAAGCCCCCTCTGACCCTCAGCAACCCCAGCGGTGACCCGCATACCCGCATGGGACGCCCGGGGGCCCTGGGATCTTCTGCGCGCCCTCGGGCATTCCGCGGGCTGACTTGATCGGGGATCTTCTGACCCGGGTCAATCCATACCTGGGCGAGCCAAGCCTCGCAAACTCCTGCAAGATCCTGCGCCCAAGCCCGGGTCAGTGCGACCCTGGCCCTGCAGGATCCTGCAAGATCTGGCGCTCTGACTGACCCCCGCTTGCACTGACCCCCGTCTCGAGACTCCCGACGCGAGCTGCCCTGGAGGGCGCCGGCGGGTCTGGGCCAGGGGCGCTCTCTCACGGCCGGCCAGCGTGGGGGGGGGTTGCCCGCTGCCGGAGCACAGTGTCGGGGGCACCGTCGGGGGAGGAGCGGCTCGGGGAGTTCTCGGGAGCCTTCTGTGATCGGCCTGTTGTCCACCACCACCACCAGAAGTTGGAGGGAAGAAGGAGGTGGAGGAGGAGGAGGAGGACGAGGAGGAGGACGAAAAGCAGGAGGAGGAGGAGGAAGAGGTGGAGGAGGTGGAGGAGGAGGAGGAGGAGGAGGAGGAGGACCCCCTCCCCCTCCAACTTGTGGTGGTGGTGGTGGTGGTGGTGGTGGTGGAAAACAGGCCCATCCGCTGCGCCTCGTCGGGAGCGGTCTGGGGGTGGCGGGATCATCCAGGATGGCCCCTGGAGGCCGGGGCCATGGCACGAGTGCCGAGGGAGCGGAAGGCCAGGGGTAACGCAGTTAGGGTGATGGGCCTGTTTTCCACCACCACCAACACAAGTGGGAGGGGGAAGGAGCAGCGAGCACATGGAGAGTGGGATGGGGAAGGAGGTGGAGGACGAGTAGGAGGAGGACGAAGATGAGAAGGAGGAGGAGGAGGAGGAGGAGGAGGAGGAGGAGGACCTCCTCCCCCCTCCAACTTGTGGTGGTGGTGGAAAGCAGGCCCACCATAATTAGGGGGGGATAAGGCCAGGGGGGGACGCGTCGGCACCCACGACCGCTCACTGATCGCCGATGGGGGCCCCATGGCCCTCTCCGACCAGGCTTGTGCGGATTGGCTAAATAAGGCACGAGGCCCCTTTTGTTCCATAAGTTGACCTTCGATCTCCTGTCGAAAACATAAGGAAAGCCTGAGGCAAGCTGTGAAACACTTAAGGAACGCGGAGTCCCTCCCCAACGAGAAGGGTTCCTTCTCCAGGGCCCCGACTGTACTCGTCGGTTTCGGGCTCCTGAGGCCTTCCACGGGCCCCGGGGCCGTCAAGCAACTTCTCGGGATAGCAAGGCCCCCAGCCCCCACGGGGTTTATCAGGTTCGGCCTCCGCGCCCTCTCCACAATCAAAACCTATTGACACGGGATAAACATGTTAGAGGGGGTTGAGGGGTGACGATTTATTATCAAGGGCACTGGGTTAATGACCCGCTTCCTTCATGTTGATTCTGCCGTCCATCATGTTGATTCGAGTGGGGGCGACACCAGCAGTTCCTGCCCATTCCGAGCGGGGCTCACAGTCGGCATCGCCGTGGGCAAGGTCGGATGCTCAGCAGCGGCCGATGCTGGTTTGAGACGACGATTTCCGATGGGCATCGCTTTCAACTTTTCCATACTTGCACCTGCTCTGGGTGTGCAGAGCTAGGAAGACGCTAAGTCAATCCAATAGTAACGAATCCCGTCGGAGCCAAAACGCTCCATCTGTCAGGTGAAATTGGAGGGGTGTGCGGTAGTTTCATGCGGCGTTGGCGCGCCGGCGACGCCGGCGAAGGCGCTCGAGACTGCATTCTGCGACGCGAAGCCCTGAGGGACGCGGTAATGCCGCTGGACAAGACGGACTTCAACCTTGAACGATCGGGGCCGCGATCTATTCACCGCGGTGTGATCGACGCAGTGTCGAAAACCTTTGCGCGCGCCGACGCCGCACGAACCTACCGCAGGCCAAGGATGGGGCGACATACGAAGGCTGATGCGTGCAACGGGTTTCGGCCCCGCCGCCGTCCGGTCTCCTGGATGACTGGCCGGCGTACGCGTCCCGCTGGCGGCCGACTGGGCGTCTTCTGTCGGCGTTTGCCTGGGCCGCATAAGCATCAGGGTCCGCGGACGTCCCCGCTTGGGTCACCGCTGGCTTGCCGAGGGGGCAGGGGGCCTTAAAGTGGCAGCCGAGGTGGGTCGCGGGGGCGAGTTGTATCCACCCGCGCTGGTGGCCGATTGGGCGTTGTTTCGGGCGCTTGCCTGGGCAGCATGGGCGTAGACCGCATGAGGGAAGCACGTCAAATCAATGCAGGCTTTGCAGGCCAGCTAGTCTGGAAAGATGAACACACGTGGGGCCACAATGAAGCCCCAAAGTAAGAGGTCACACAGAGCGCACGACACGGACGAATGCATTGCCACCAACAAATGATATGATGCCTTGCGCTATTGCTACTGCGATACCCTCTCCCCCAACCAAACAAACGAATCGCTTCCGATAAATGTAAGTTGTTCCACGAGGGTTACATCTGGCGGAACCTGGCTTATCGTGGCTTGCAAGTGCCCTAAATGGCTTACGGGAAGCACAGATCTGGGTCAACCGGGCGTGGCCCATTTAGCAGAGTTACCTGATCTGGTCAAGCCACTTACGGCATGTGGAACCCACTCATAAGCTAGGCTCGGCAGACAGTGGGCTCGGTTAGCATCAACTCGTAAACCCCCGTCTCCTTTTCCTTAGCAACCTTGACGGTGCTCCAAGCATGAGCCCGAAAACGGCGAAGGACATCAGAACCCGTCCTCCCCGCGCGGAAGGCAACGTTGTGGACGCTCGACATGGGTACGGAAAGAAGGGGTACGACGTCCAACAACAACAATTGCCCAAAACCGACAGCGGCCGGTGTTGGGCAACCGGCCGTCTGTCTCGAATTGACAACATCCGCTCGGGACGCTGACCCGTTCAAAGTGGATAAGGACTGCTGTCGGTCTTCGTGCCCACTCCTTCCGGAGGCGACGATAGGGGCGATTAGCCCAGGGGGGGGGGGGGGGGCAACACATGTACCCAGGGGCGCCGACGGTCCATGCCTTTGGCGAGGCTCCTGGGCGAATACGCGTAGTGCTCCCCCCTGAGCTATTCGCCCCCATCGTCGCCTCCGCTCTTTCCGTGCCCACTCCGATCGTAGCGGATCGACATGGGGCGACCTCCCGCGGCGGCCGGCGCGGCCGGCGGCGCGGGCGCCGGCTCGGCGTCCTGCTGCTGCTGCTGCTGCTGCTGCTGCTGCTGCTGCTGCTGCTGCTCGGCGGGCGGCGGCGCGGGCGCCGTGTCGGCGTCCTGCTGCCGCTGCTCGGCGGGCGGCGGCGCGGGGGCCATCTCGGCGTCCTCCTGCTGCGGCTGCTCGGCGGGCAGGGGCGCGGGGGCCATCTCGGCGTCCTCCTGCTGCGGCTCGGCGGCCGGCGGCGGTCTGGGCGCCGTCTCTGCGCGCTCCTGTCCAGGGAAGGGCAGGCCCAGGCTCCCAACGTAGTTCAAGGGCCCCCAAATGACGAGCGAGCAACACACACACGCATACCTACAGGGCGGCCCAAGGGAGCAGGACTGGCTATGGGTATGGGTGCAGGCTGTCGGAGCCCAAAGGGGGGCCCCCCTTCGAGCGGAGGTCCCCATCCGACAACACGCACCCACAAGCCACTCCGTCCCCCCACTGTAGGTATGGGGGTGCGTTGTTCGTTCGTCACCAAACGGGATCCGAGTAGATAAGGTCGGACGATCGCACCGCGTCGCCGGTGTATCGCCGATGAGTCGACGATGCATCGGCGACATCGGCGATGCATCGCCGATGTCGGCGCGGAGAAACCGGGCCCCCCCTTGAGCCGCATCGCCGATGCATCGGCGATGCAATGCGATCCTCCGATCCCATCGTGGACCCCCTCTGGGAGACCTCCAATAATGAAAAAAACAATACGAAACTGTGAAGATTCCAATGGCCCGCCTCCCCCCTGAGTGGTACCGTGTACGCCCGCGCGGACCCTTGGGCAACGCGCTCGGTGCGGCCAGATGGGGCGCTCGAAAGACCCTCACCAAAATCTCGAGACCCGCTGCTGTCGGGCCGGGTGAAAGGGGGGGATAGCAAAGGGAAGGGTTGAGAATCAGCTCACGTAGCTACTTTGAGGCGCCCATGTATCGAGGAATGGGCCCGGCGGCGGGACCGAAACCATCTGCACAGGAGATTTCGTAACTTCCCCTTTCCCTATCCCCCCCTTTCGTTCGGCCCGATGCTGGAGCTCATGGCGACCCGAAACGCACGCCGCCACCCCGCTGCTGGCGACGTGACCGCAGCCTCCGCCCGCCGCAGCGCTGCAGGCGACGTCGGGGAGGGCGCCCGTCGGGGCGGCTGCACGCAAAGCGCCGGACCAGGCCCCTCGAACCCCCCGAGTGTCTCAAGAAGCGCCTCCTCCATCCCTTCTCCTCCTCCTCCTCCTCCTCCTCCTCCTCCTCCTCCTCCTCCTCCTCCTCCTCCCCCTCCTCCTCCTCCTCCTCCTCCTCCCCCTCCCCCTCCTCCCCCACCTCCTCCTCCTCCTCCTCCTCTTCCACCTCCTCCTCCACCTCCTCCTCCTCCTCCTCGGATGGTCCAGCCCGGGAGCGGCCCAAGGGCGCTCCAAAGCAAAGGGAGCCCCGAGACGGCCCAAGGGGCCCCCGAAACTACCCAAGAGCGCTCCACGAGAACTGACAAGGGGGCTTCGAGAAGCCGAAGACACTGATTTCGGATTGGACTTTGCAAGATTTTAGCGTCCTCGCCGCTTCAGGCGGCTAACACCGATCCAACACGATGCACGAGCTCCCAAGATGATCCCCAGTCAGCCCAAGGGGCCTCCCAGAGGGCACCAAGACGGCCCAAGAAGGCCCCGAGAGGGCTCAGGAAGCCCCCAAAACTGCCCAACAGCCCCCCCAGGGCTGTCCCAAAAGGAGGGCCAAGAGGATGAACCCGAACGGACACGTCGATGATCCCACCCTGAGATGGTCCCGAGAGCGCCCCCTCGAGGAGCGTGCGGGGCCCCACGACAGGCCCCACGACAGGCCCTCGAGGAGACCCCAGCGGCCCTCAGGAGCTCTCCAAGAGCCTCCCGAATGGCATCCCCGGGGGACTCTCAGATACATACAAGGACACCGTCAGCGCGTACAGTAGGAGCTCGACCACAAGAAACCCTCCACAAGACACCCAACCCTGAGACCCCAGGACGTGCATTGATTTTTGGTGTGGGAAGAATGCGCTTCACATAGCAAACCCATCGAAACACCAGCAACCTGGGGCACCCTGGAGGCAAGCAGGGTGTCTCTTGGCATGGGTCTCCACTGTAGTGGAGTGGCCAGGAGCGCAGTCAGAGCTCATAGGTAGAGAGGTCACGCATCACAGAGGCCTCTGACCTAGGAACCAAGACACGGTGGCAGGATGGGTCAAAGACCACTGGATACACAAAAGCAAGACAGTGGAGTATTGGTGACCGCATCGCACCTGCTTCGAATTGCGAATAACCCAAACCCTGAGATTCGCATGAAGAAAATCAGGCCGGGCACTCGCGCTACCATTGCGCAACGGCCATGTCAAGATGTCGACAGACGCCGCACCATGGACATTGCGAAACTGACGCGACTCGACCGCGCAAGTAGCAAGGGCCCAAGCAACAGATCAGTGCGAGGGCCGACTAGTAGAAAATGACTCTCGTGAAGCAGTATTTTTCCAACACTGGAACAAACATAGTTTACATAGTTTACAGCATCGGAATCAGAGCAGCCGAATTACCAGACAAGCACGATGTGGTGATGAGACGCTAGACGTCGAACAGCCAGCGGATCATGCGTCGGCGACAACTTCTTGATATACCTGAGGCTAGCCACGAAGTGAGCGATGATACATCCAATGAGGGGGATACCGAGCCATTTCCTTAGGCATTGCTGCAGAATTCTCACTGAACAGAAGCCCGAGCGATCTGCCGATGGAGGGGTTGAGGAGAAGGAGGGGACCGAGGAAGATCAAGGAGGGTTTTTGTTCGAACCTCCCCCACCTCCTGTTCCTCCTCCTCCCCCCTGCGTCGCACTTGCTCGTCTCGTCTCGTCCCCTTCGTCTTCGTTCCTTCAGCTTTCGCAAATAGGGTATGTGTAATTTCCTCGGGGAGGGTCATAAACACCTCAATAGCTCGGAAACTTGCTTCTGCAACACCCGCGAGTCGACGAGGGTCTCAGCTGGCCTCAATGGGCCATGTTGGTCGCTCAGGTGCGCTCGTCACACTCCTTTGCAATTACCAGCTGCACCTGAAGTCCTGCTATGGTAGATCTGGCAGGTTTCCCAGGAGTCACCCCAGCTGCCCAAGCATCGCTCACTCGCTCGCTCGCTCCTCTCCCTCCGTCCCCCTCCTCGCCCCCTGGCGGGCCGCCGTCCTCAGCGCCTTCCATGCCTGCTGAGTGGCGAAGCTCACGACGGCGCCCCCTCGCGAATCCCGACGCGGGCGCACGCGCGCGCTCGCGCGCTGCGCGGTGCCATCTCGGCGCAGCGCTGACAGCCGCCCGTGGCGAAGCTACCATGCGGCGGGATCGCGACGCGATGTCGCCGGAATCGGCTTACAACACGGTGTGGATCGTTGAGCCTCCGATCGCAGCGTTCCGATGGCGCAGATCTTTCGGTATTGGCCGATTCTGGGCCACTGGCAGCGTTCGAGCCTGAACGCCCGCGCTGGGGTCGCCACCGCGTCAACGCGGCGCGAACCTTCCGTACGCTTGGAGGCCTGGAAATTGGCACCAACACCAACACAGGGGGGTTGCCTCCACAGGGGGAAGATGATCCTAGATTTCGATGTTGGTGGTAATATTTCGGTCACCTTGGAAGCCAGAATATCACCACCATCACCGAGATCGGGATCTTCTTCCCTCGGTGGAGGGACACCACCGATCTTGGTGTTGGTGTCAACCTCTAGGCCTGCGATACGCAGGTGCATCCGGCACCGAAGCAGTCTCTCGTACAGTCATGGTGCTAGAAGGGACGCTGACTAGGGAGCGACGGGTCTCTTTCCGGCCCCAGCGAGCGTCGGCCAGGAAGGGAACTCCCGACCCGGATACGAGGACCGGCCCAAAGGTTTTTTTGTTTGTGCCCGGAAAGAACACCTGGGCGACGCAACCCGAAGGGAGGTGCCCAAGGTGCCTGCGTGGATTCACGTGCAGTCGGACCTCGCAACGCGAACGGCGGCACGGACCCGCTCCAGGCGTTGTCCGCGCCGCCCTTGCGAGGTGCCTCGAGATGCCGCCCCGAGACACGGCCACCGGCACCACCCCCACTTGGCCGCCGGCCTCAAGCAGCGGAGGCCCCGCTGCCAAAAGGACTGAAGCTCCCGCGCCCCCCACGTCGGGGCCCTCACCTCACCGACCTGGCTGCACGTCCTGGCACTCCCGAAGCGTCAGGGCCTCCCGGTCCCGTGGGCATCCCTGGCTTTGGTGTCCGTTCCATGGGAGCCTGCGCGGCCCCCGGCGCTGTCCAATTCGGGCCTGAGTTGGACCGGATTTGGAACAAATTTGGACCAGATTCGAACCAGATTCGGACTGGATTCGTGGGGGCTAGGAGAACGAGGAGGGGAGGGGGAACAGGAGGGGAGAGGAGGAGCAGGAGGATGGGCCAAATGTGGTCCCCACGCCGTCCAACTGCAGGAAAAGCGAATTTCAGTGTCGCCGCCCAAGGCTCCCATGAACAGACATCGAACCTGGAAGCCTCTCCGGGAAGCCTCTGATGATCTCCCCCGGTACTGCGACGATTGCCGGAGGCCCGAAGAAGTCCGAAGACCTCAATCCTTGATCATCCATCCCCTTCTCTCGCCATCGCTCGGACATCCTTTCCCGTGCATGTTTAGGTTTCGTGCGTGGATTTTTTTCGCACGACGATTAAGGATGCTCCTCGATGGTCTCCACCCAACAAATGCACACGTCCGAGCGATGCCAAGTTCTACTCCTCTACAGCGCCACCCGGCGGGTACTCGGACGACGGTGACGTTGACCGATGCTGAAGGTGGCGCTGTCCCGTCGCTCTACGGTGCTCTACCGCGCGAAATCGGCCCTTCATGCCACCAACCTGGGCGCTGGCGACTAGCCATCGCTTGGACGTCCATTCCACGTGCATGCTTCGATTCCGTGCGCGTTTTTTGAGGGGCCTGGTTTCCACCACCACCACCACCATATGTTGGAGGGGGAGGGGGTCCTCCTTCTCCTCTTCTTCCACCTTCTCCTCCTCCTCATCCTCCTCCTCTTTGTCCTCCTCCTCGTCGGCCTCCTCCTTCCCCCCTCCGACTTATGGTGGTGGTGGTGGTGGTGGAAAACAGGCCCATCATGCTTTTGTTTCGCAAGATGATCCTGCATCTTCGTCGATAGCCCTGGCAGAAAAAAACACGTCCGAGAGCGATGCCAAGGCGAAGTGCCCGTCACTGTCGGGGCCTGCCGAAAAGCATCCCAAGCCCGAGGCGTGCCCAACCCCCGCGGCTTTTTGGAGCCTCTGGCGCTCCCCTTTGGGCCACGTCAGGGTTTGCCCCGGAGACCGCGCGGGGCCTCCTGGGAATCCTGGGGACACCTTGGGCCAGGGGCACCTTCCCAGCCATTCGCCGACCCCCTGCTCGCCGAGGGGGAGAAGGCGTGTGGAGACAGTTGGCTGTCCCTCTCCCCCCTTTCCCCCTCCCCTGGGGTCCAACATGCTGTGTTTCTTGTTCGGAGGGGGGCAGAGCTCGTCAACGCACCCCTGGGGTCTCCAGAGCCTCCCAAAAACCCTAAGGCGACCCAAGAGGGCCCAGACAGAGCGCCAAGACATTCCAAAAGAGCGTCGAGACGGGGCAGGGTCGCCCCAAGACGGTCCAAGTCGGAATCGAGACGGCCCACGTGCCTCCAAGACGTCCAAGAATGCTCCCAGAGGAAGGCCGAGAGGGCCCAAAGAAACAAAATGTGTCCCACACCTGAGGGGAAACGTACACTTTTGCATACCCACCCTGTTCGTCTTGGCAGCGTCCAGGACAGCCCAAGGGGCCCCGAAGATCGTCCCAACAAGGCCCATGAAGCCAAGGGGGCCCCAAGACAAGCCAAAAGGGCCCCAAGACGGCCGCACAGGCCCCCCAAAAAGGCCCTAAGAGGGGCCCAAGAAAGGGACTACGGACTGACATGTCGAGTCTTTCTCTCCAGGATGGCCCCGAGCGCGCCCACAAGAGGCGCCATCAGGCTCCCAAGGGGTCCCCAAGAAGCCCCCCAGGAGGCCAAAAAAAAAACAAAAGGCCCCCCAGATGCCCCCTTAAGAGCCTTTCAAGAGGCTCCTGACAGGCATCCCACAAGCCCCTCAACTTCACCCAAGAAGCTCCTGACCCACGAGATATGTTTTAAAGATCGTCGCAAGTACCCGTTCCTTCTGGAGAATCGGCGGAATTGCATAAGCGACTTGGATCAAATGTGTTGGTCAATGCTTGTGATTGTTTTCAATGGGGCACCCAAACTACCTTCTTCGCTGGGGCCATTTTTAGCACATCATGCATACACTGTGGCTCTCCCAAGGCACGGGGCAGGCTCCCAGAAAACGAAAACGGCAACACCATGTACAACAGCAGCAACAACACCGACAACAACAGCAGCAACAACAAAACCACCAACAACAGCACCACCATACATAACCTCACTACAACCAACAAAAACACCACCACCAACAACAATCAGCACAACAACGACACAGGCAACAGCAGCAACAACAACAGCAACCACGACGACAACGACATCGACGAACAAAAACACCACCACCAACGACAACACCAACCACACCAACAATCAATTCCCCAATCAGTGTTTGCACTGAAGGGGTCTTAGCGGAAAGTGAAAAATTTAGCGAAAATTCCCCGCCGATGTTGGTAGCAAGCTGGCTTCCCGGGTTCTCGGTTCTGGGTTCCCGGGTTCCTGGTTATTGGTTCCGGGCCGATTTCGGTGGGTTCTGGGTTCCCGGGCTCCTGGGCTCCCGGTCGATCTCCTCAGCGAAAACCATCCACTGATTGGGGTTTTCTCTGGTGCAATTTAAGACTGGTCGCTCCTATACGCGTGCATACCAATCAACATGTGTTTCCCAAGCTTTGGATACCCGTCCCCTTCGTCTTCGAGCGTACACCCTTCAGGGTATATATCTTTCTCACCTGCAACGTGTCTTTCGTGCAGCCCCTAGATAACAGGCGGGTTGCTGACGCGGGCGTCCTGCATGAATCGCGAGGACGTCTCGAGCGCTGGCGCGATTCCAATACATATATATATATATATATATACATACTGATTGATATCGATGACATCTACAGCGAGATGAGAGCGCGATTCCTGAGCGTGGAGGGCGCGGCGTCTGAATAAATTGCAAGGAAGTCCCACGCGAAAACGCAGTGTCTGCATACATTGTGAGTTAGTCCCGTGCGAGAGCGCGATGTCTTCATACATTATGAGGAAGTATCAAGCGGGAGCCGTTGTTGTTGTACACCGGGGGGCGAGGGCACAGTTTGGTGACGCCTCGCTTCCCCTAGCGAGCAACAGGGTGCGAGGCCCAGGAGAAGCGTTTCAATTGAAGATGCAATTGTTACCGGATAGGGGGGATCAACACTAATTCTTTATGTGAGGTGGTCATTCCTAACCAATCATTTCAAGGCTGTTCGCTCTTACCTGATCGCGTGCCATTCAACACGTGTATCCCAGACCCTCGATACTTGCCCACTTCGTCTTCGACCATACCGCCTTGGGGGTACATCTTCCTTGACTGCCACGTACATGTAGTGCAGCCCCTAAAACAAGAGAAGAGAGGACGGATGGGGGAGGGAGAAGGACGGAGCGCGATATAGATTAGCAGGACGCGGGGGCCAGGAGCAGAAACACGTGGGAACCAGACGAGCTGATCGGGCGGGTAGACTTTACAACAACGGGAGGGTCGGGAAGGCGGGTCCAGGCGGCCAGGTCGAACAGGCGGGTTGCTGAATCCTGAATTCTGCATGAATCGCGAGGAAGTCTCAAGCGATAGGGCAATGCCACAATACATCATGAGAAAAGCAAGACCGAGAGTGCGATTCCTGAGCGTCGAGAGCGCGGCGTTTGAAACAATTGCGAAGAAATCCCATGCGAGAGCGCTATTCTGGCAAACCTTATAAGAACGTCCCCTGCGAGAGCGCGATTTCTTAATACATTGTGAGGACGTATCAGGCGGGGGCGGCTGTTGATGTAAACCAGGAGCCAACAAGACACGTTGGTAACACTTCACCTTCCCTGGTAAAAGAAGCAGGGTGCAAGCCCTGAAAAGAACACTGCACATGAAACATACAAAATGATTTCAGGAGATCTAAGAGACTTGTTCTTTCGGAGCAACAAAGCAGCAGCAAAAGCAGCAGCAACAACAGCAGCAACAACAACTGCAACAACAACAACAACAGCAACAGCAACAGCACCAACATCAGCAACATTGTGACCAACAACACCACCAACAACAGCAACACCACCGACACTAACAACAGCATCAACAGCCACAACAACATCAACAACAACAAAACCGCAACACCACCAACAACTACAAACACAACAACATCAGCAACACCAGTAACGTGTTTCATAATAGTGATTTGGGTTGTCTGGGTTTTGGGTGTCTGTCGTGGTTGTCTGGTTCGGGTCGTCTTGTTTGTTTGTTTGTTTGGGGTTAGAGGTTGTCTAATCTGGGTTTGGGCTGCTTGTATTTCGAAAGACGTTGCATGTCTGGGTGTGGTGACGATCGTCATGCTAGAGCAGGGACGAGGATGAGGAGGGGGAGGAGGAAGGAGGAGTCAGGGGGAATGAGGAGGAGGAGGCGGAGCAAGGACGGGGAGAATATGGAGGAGGAGAGGGACCAACTCCCCCTCCTCCCCCTCCTTCTCCTCCTCCTCCTCCTCCTCCGCCTCCGCCTCCTCGAGCATCGGTTCCTCGAAACCCCATCCTTGCACGTGGCCCAGCACGGGGCGCCGCCCCTACAGATTTGTGCTGCCTCCGGGGCTGGAGTTGCACGTGCGGTGCCACTCTCCAAAGCCAATGCGACCAGGAACGTGCCGCCTCCCCTCAATAGCCCTGCTCCCAGCAAGAGTTGGCCTTTGAATGCAATGCCCCTGTGCGAGATGCGACTGTCTGCCTCTGGGGCCATGACTACCTCGGGACCCCGCTGGCCCTGCAACGCGCTCGTTGAGGTGCGGCTGCTGGAAAGCATCCCGAAGCGAGCAACGCCCCAGAACCAGCGCAAAGTCCCGTTAACCTCCAAGCGGGCTGCAGTCGACAACCGAGCTGGCGTCGGGCTCTGCCACTGCCCAGACATCTCTCCTCGGGTCTGACCAACATGTCGAGGCGAGCCTGACCTGAGGGCAGCGGCTTCATATGTTCCTCATGTGGAGCCTGGCGCCCCCCTTGAGCAGGGCACGACCGTCCCAGTAGAACATGCCACGACAGGCCCTTAAAACAAACAATGCCCAAGACAGAAGCAGCTCTCTTATAACATGAGACCGACGTATTAAAACAAGACTGCCATGCATGCCATGCAAGCCACAAGTCAAACCATCATACACGAACCGAGGGGGACTTGTTTCATGCTTGCTTGCTTACCTACAGGCACACGAGAACACCTCGCCACTGACCTCGAAGCGCGGACCAACTGCATACATCTGGGCCGTCGGAGATCCCAAACTCGTCTGGCCGGACTCATCTGGGGCACTGGATCGGTGTATGTGCCCTCCTGGCCTGTGCACGGAGGCGTACGCGCGGATGTATAGTCGGCGCCTGCCCAACTGCTGGACCCGGGCGTTGCTCAATGAGGGGCCACAGACGGCAGGATGAAGAAAGGCGCACCTGTCGTGCACCTTCGGGACCTCAGGGGGCCCCTTTGGGGCCCCTTTTCCAGCAACCCTCGACCCCCCCCACCTACCCAGGCCTCCCAAATTGCCATTGCCAAATGTGGTCTGCGCCGCATAGCTGATGCATCGGAGACGCTGGCCTGGAGAAAGTCGGGCTCCACATCGAGTCACATGGCCGATGCATCGGCGATGCGGCGCGACTTTCCGACACCATCCACTCTGACCCCATCTGGGAGGAGTAGACGATCGCTCCCCATCACGACACGCCCGTTGGACTGCACCACTGGGGACAGCACAGACAAACGTACCCAAAAACGAATGCGGGCCTTCGCCCGACACATCGTGTGAATATTTGTTGTGGAACCCCTCGCGCCCGCGACCCTGCCCCGAAGAATGCTCCCTGCACGGTGCGCGGTGGCGGTTGCGAGCATAATTTCATGGGCACGCTCCTGCCCAGAGACGTTCCCCCCCCAGAGATCCGATGTCGTGTTTTTGTTTCAATGTGGGGTCCCCAGAAGGGTCGAGCCCTTCCCCAGGACCGGTTTTTCATCCTGAGTCGTTTTCTTACAAATGAACAGGGACCGACCGTCCCGGCACTCCAACAGTCCTACCACGAACTGCTCTTAGAACCCCCCAATGTTCTAAGAACAACAACAATGTTCTTTGAACATAAGCCCGACGTGGTCAAACAAGACAGGCCCAGCCAGAAGTGTTCCATGAACCTTTCGTGGAAACCACCAAAAAGATTATTCGAACACTCTTCGGCAGGCCTATGGGCGAGCTGGGACGCTTCGCCACTGCTTGACACAGCCCCAGGGCCCGGTGGGGGCCCCTCCTACAGGCAGACCGCTGCGAAACAACCGCCCGCCTTATGTCGGGGGTGTGCCCCCACAGGGGGACTTTCGATGAAAAAAGAAAAATACCCCAAACAGGCACCAAAAAGGTAATTAACAAATGCTCAAAACATAGTTTTTGGACTATGTCTGGATTATTTGTTTGACAATTTTTTGGGGGGTATCGTTTAGTTTCCGTCGAAACTCCCCTTTGTAGGGGGACAGGCCCGCCGCGTGGGACCTCCGGGCGCCCCGCCCCTCCTGCAGAGCGCGCCCGTGCCCGCGGGCGGGCCGCCCCCGCCGGCCGCCTCTGTGCGCGGCTTTCCCCCCCCCGCGCGCCCGCCGGCGGGCC